CCACGACTTACAAATGGCTCCTGTGCTTTAATTAGGGACGCTGGACCCGGTTTCCAGCTGGTGATGCTCCCCACCAATAGATTGGAGCCATCTTCTCTGGAGCCCTATTCGTGGAGGCTGCTCTTATCACCTCCACGAATAGGTCTCCCTCGGATGTTTCAAAAAAAAAAAAAAAAGTCCAAGGGGAGGGGGATCATGCTCAGCTCATGGGCCCATGACATAAGGATTATGCTGGGTATCGGAAGTGCCTGTATGACAGGGCTTATCCGATAAGTGATTCGACCAGGGCTGGGCTGGTTGCATTGCCTAGTGCTGGTGCTGAGACTATCGGACCGTTTCAGAAGTCAAAAACGCCCACAGACAGTTGGTCCGAGCTGGGGCGAGTTGTGTTGACCTGTAACTCTGCAGGGTGGGGGCATGAGGCCTGGAAGAGCTCAGCAGGGAGTAAGACTGTGTTGGAAATTCTTAGAAGGGCTGGTTAGGGATCCTGAGGGTTGTGAGCTTTCGTAAGACCTGTGTGGCAGCCTATTGCATGTGTAGTTCCTTATTAGGTCATTAGATATTCACAGACAGATCTCAGCCGAAGCCGGTTAATGGCCCCGGTATCTCAAATGATCTCAATGTTCTCAAACGTTCTCAATGATCTGTACAATTCGATATGGGACGCTGGGCCCGGTTCCCAGCACGTGCTGCTCCCACGAATAGACTGGAGTATTTGTTAAAAAAAAAAAAAAAAGCGCCCACAGTCATGAACTCAATCTGTTAGGCCAGCGCATGCACTTCTTTAGGATTTCTGGGAAGAACCCGAAAAGTATTCGTGGCATATACATCCGGGAAATCTGATGTGTGGTGTGTGGCGTGTGCGCCTGTTTGCCGCAAGCGACACCACACACCTACCAAGGGGAATGTGCGCAACTCAGGCGTACTCACAGTAGGACACTTTTTTTTTTTCCCTTAAGACTCCAATCAATTGCTGGGAAGCAGCACCTGTTGGAATGCGGGTCCAACGTCCCTCATACAATGAGAATAATGTCTTGTTGAAGAATATAATCATGTGACAAGTGAGCTGAGATCTGCCTCTTCAGTCCGCTGAGGACCACCAGATATATCCATGCATTTCTAGCCTGCCTATGCTCTGAGAATAGTTACAATAGTGAGAGTGTAGAACACACGGAGCGCTCCCGCCCGACAAGGCTCGACGGGCATCCGCTCCAGGTCCTCGGACTTGCCGAGGTTGTCTGCGTAACGGTGGAGGGTCAGGGCGGCGCGCGGCGGCGGCCATGGCAGCGAAGCTTTAGTGAGCATCGTGTCTACTGTTACTGGAGTGTCTTTGCACGACAATAGGAACGGCGACAAGTAACGGGAGCCAGAACAGCAGGTAAGTTGACATTGTCCACATGGCTTCAGATGGAAACCTCCGACAAGCTGCTGATGCATGGCTATCCAGCATGGAAGACAACAGGCAACATCTTCAGCATATGGTCTCTCTCCTCTCTGTCTCCACTCCGCCTCCACCAGCGGTTGTTGGCGGAGCGATCGCGAGGGCGAAATGGGTGGAAACCGTGATATAGACGATGTTGGAGGTTATCTGGGTGCTGGAGGAGGGGCCGGCTCCGGAGCTGGACGAGTTTGTTGACTGGCGTCAGGTGGACGCCCTGTCCAGCGATTGTTACACGCTCCTTGACGAGCGGCTCGAGGGAGGTGCTGACTGGGCCAAGCGCTCAGGAGGGGAGCTGCCAATCACCATGTTGGCCATGGTCGCACCAGCAGCACCAGCTCCAACAATCTCACCGACACCTGCAACCATGTTTTCATCACAGGTCACCACCAACAACAACAACAACTACACCAACAACAATAATAATGTGCACGACAGTGGCATGGAAGGAGTGATCCTGAGCTCGTGCGCGTCCGGGAGTGACAACAACCACAACAACCACAACAACCACAACAACAACAACAGCAACAACAACAACAACAACAGCAACAACAACTACAGCAACAACAACAACAACAACAATAACAACAACAACACTGACGGTGTGGTAAGTGCGACGTGATATAGACGATGTTGGAGGTTATCTGGGTGCTGGAGGAGGGGCCGGCTCCGGAGCTGGACGAGTTTGTTGACCGGCGTCAGGTGGACGCCCTGTCCAGCGATTGTTACACACTCCTTGACGAGGGGCTCGAGCGAGGTGCTGACTGGGCCAAGCGCTCAGGAGGGGAGCTGCCAATCATCATGTTGGCCACGGTCGCACCAGCAGCACCAGCTCCAACAATCTCTTTTTTTTTTTTTTTTTTTTTTTTTAAACCACACACCCCTTAAGTGCTAGTGGTGCTGAGCAAGTCAGACACCACTAGCACCCAGAGGGAGGCTCCAGTCTATTGGTGGGGAGCATCACCTGCTGGAAAACGGGTCCAGCGTCCCTTAACAGATTGCAGAATGAATATAATCCAGAGAAGTTAAGTGGTCTTGCACCTGCCAGCAGTGATTGCTCTGGATACCAGAGGATTGACTGTGCCAGCTCCAACAATCTCACCGACACCTGCAACCACGTTTTCATCAATAATCTCACTGACACCTGCAACCATGTTTTCATCAATAATCTCACTGACACCTGCAACCACGTTTTCATCACCTACATCAACGATCATTGCCCCTGAGCCTGCCACGATGAGTACATATGACTTGGGGCGTTCAACAAGAGAGATGGCGCAAACGACGATGACATCAGCGACATCAATCATACCAAAAATGCCTGCGACTATCGACACTCCTCGGGGCCCGAAATTCCGCAAGGAAATGGTCGTTCCACTCATCCTCGGGGAAGACGCGGAAAAGAAAATGTGAAAACATTTCCTCGGGGATTCCTCGGGGATTCCTCGGGGCCACAACCATTTTGGCAATTTCTCCAAGGGACCTCCCGAGGTCCCTCGGAGGTCGAGCTTCCAGAAGAATCGGGGCGTCGACGCAAGCTCCTTCGACGACATTTTTCAATTCCATCTGGTCCATCGGTGGTCCTGCTGCGTCTCCACGGACATGTTGGGTCGGCAACGTTCGGCTTCACTCCAACGGTTACCGTTTGCGGCCAACCGGCATCCCCGACGTCCAGAAGGTACCGTCTTGCGTCGTCGCGTATGGCAATCCGCGGGAATGTCCCAACGGTCGGCAAATACGAATTTTTAAGGCCGCACTCCAGCTCCCAATTACGCACTGACCGTAGGAGACCGAAGACGTCCTCGGGGGTTTGTTGCGAAGTCGGGACGGCCGTTTGCAGCACTGCGCTCCGCTGTTATGTTGGCGCCCGCGTTGTCTTCCGTTTGCTGCCGTCGTCGTCGACTGTTTCATGGCTGACGTGTTCTGCAGGCTGCCGCTGCTGCTCCTCGTTGTCCTGTTGCTGCTCCTTGTGGTTCTCTTCCGCGTGTGCATCCTTGGGAATGTGGCGCCGCGTCAACGCAAAACAAGGACTTCGATGAAGTACGCCAGGATGGAGGCACGGCAGGCGATCCCCCGGTCCGGTGGGGAGCAGGTCGGAGGGAGGCGGTGCGGAGGGACCCTGTCGACCATTGGCAGGGTCTCCCAGCGGGTTGGGTGTGATGCATTGCCACCGCACTTGCAACCACTCCCCGGCTCATCGGACGAGGAGGAGGWGGTGGAGAGACGGCCACAAACCGTGTCGTTGGGCAGCGGATCAACGYAGGAGYGGTCAGCCACGGAGCTGTGSGGGAYGGGCGGCSGCGTGTACGAGCAGTCGTTCACTGAACTCCTTCGGCCTGGCCTTGGSGAAGACGAAGGAGATGGCCGCGTCAACCTGTCRTTYGGTTTGTCCACCGGGCGGTCTACAACTCCATCGCGCACAGTGCTCGTGCGACCCCACCCYRGCGACGAAGGCGGGSAATTGACAGCTGTTGATCGATCAGCGAGGACGAGGGCGTTGGCGAGTGAGACGGCGGGAGCGAACCGGAACTCGTCGACGGCCCAACCACGGGCGGCTTCTCTGTCCAAGGGCGCCCAGGGTCGGCCGGAGTGGATGCAGTTGCCATCTCCCCTGTCTGCGGCGTCGGAAGTGGCACGAGGCCGTGGCGTCGGAGTCGATGGCGGGACCGACTTCTTGGATGTTGGTGATGGTCGCGACGGGAGGGAGGTGTGGAGGGACCTGCGGCGGGATCACCGGCTGCCGCGAGAGGAATACATCACACATGGGGTGGAGCGTCTTCACGTGGGAGACCGGAAGAACGAGAACGAGACGGACGATCCACCGGCGGAAGCAGACGACGACGACGACGACGACAAAGACAACGACATAGAGTGTGGGGAAGGGGGGGGTGGTCACGCGTCGCCATCGTTGCAGACCGACATGGCTGGTAAGGGCGGGAAGTCCAAGCCTTCCGGCCGCAATGCTCGTTCGCGGGTGAAAAAAGGGCAGGGAAAGAGGAGCGGTGGCGAAGGCGACGGTGATGCGGAGGAGAAGCGCAACTTCTGGTCCGTGGAACACATTATAGCCCTCATAAGGGCTAAACGTGACGAAGATGCGCATATGCAGGGGATGGGGCACACATACGCACGAATGAAACCACGGGAATGGAAATGGCAAGACGTCGCCCAAAGGTTGAAGAACGTCGGCGTGTACAGGAATGCGGAGAAATGCGGGAAGAAGTGGGACAATCTAATGCAGCAGTTCAAGAAAGTCCATCACTTTCAATCACCATCAGGGGGTGCCAACTTTTTCCAGTTCACGTCGAAGGAGAGGGCGATCAGGGGCTTCAATTTCACGATGGATCGCGCAGTTTATGACGAGATAGAGGGGTCGACTGGGATGAACCACACCATCCACCCGAGGAACGTGGCAGACACCGGTGTGTCTGGCGGTGTGCGCCCGCCTTCGACGTCTTACGTGGATCCTGACTCGGTGGCGGACGGGGAAGGTGGTGCAGGGCGAGAAGACGACGAGGAGGGGTCGACACGAGGCTCTTCGCGGACGACGGGCACCCCCGGCGGTTCTGGGAAAAGGAAGAACACGAGGCAGCAGACTTTCGAGGCGCTGACGGAATGCATGGAGAAACACGGGGAGCTGATGGCGTCGACGATGGAGAGTGCGAGCAAGCGGCAATGCTCTATCCAGGTCCGGCAGTGCGAGGCGTTAGAAGCGGAGGTGGAAGTGCAAAGGAAGCACTATGCCGCGTCAGACGAAGTCAGCAAACTCATGTGCCACGCATTGCTGGAAATAACGAAGGCCATTCGTCAGCGGCCGAGCAACTAGGAAGTGTGTTGTGCAATTGTGGATTCCATTTATGGCGTTGGCGAGTTGTTGGTTGGTTTCCTGTTGCAATCGTGTTGGTAGGTGCGCCGTCGTAGACATGGCGAGGCTTCGTTGGTCGATCGCTGTCCATTGTTGCGGGTCATGCATGGTAGATCGCCATTCGTGCAGTTTAGTGTTGTCGTTGTAAATTACCTGTAGTGCTTAGAATCCTGGGGACAGACAGTCCCGTCATTGCAAATTTGTAACGGTGGGTGGAACAGTGCGGGAAGCACTTGCCTTTTTTTTGTACTTGATGGTCTCTCTCTCTCTCTCTCTCTCTC